AAAAAGCCCTATTAAATCAAAATATAATAAAATTTCACAGTTTAAAATACGGTGCTACTTTGGTAGACGGTTGCACGGATTTTGGCGATTTTCCTTTGGCGAGTAATACAACTTATGGTAAACCCATTGCTGGATAAGTTATTTATGGTAACCGATACTTTGTTGTCATTTTATTTAAAAATAATGCGTTTTATTGTGCATAAATTCCGTGTTTAAAATATTATTTATGGCTTTTAAATATTAAAAATCATCAATTTAATTTTGAATTTTATTTGAAATAAAATTTTATTGTTTATCATATTTTATGAATTTTATTGTGGATGATGTAATCAATGACATCACCTTACTTTAAAAGTACAGTCAAAAGTCGTTAATCCGGACTCGTCGGGACTTCGGCGATTCCCGATTATCGATTTTTCCGGATTATAGATTATCAGTTTAAATCTCGTAAGATGGCATGCAGAAATTCTAAAATTAAAAATATGAAACCGTAATTTATGAAATAAAGAACAATTATGATCTAAAGGGTATCAAAATTTACAAAAAAAAAAAAAAAAAAGCTTAATATTTATTTGTTTACTTTATTAAACATTTCTTTCAATGTAAGTTGTTTAAGTTGCTTTGCTTCGTTTTATGTGATAATACTTTCTCTTTAATTCTATAAACAGACATAATTTCTTGTTCAGTTACAAAGTTCCGCTGTTCAAGTCCCGTAATTGCTGTGCCGAGAATACCGACTAACTTGTCAATCGAAATTTTTTCGTTTTCACTAACCTCTCTGTCACATTCTTCATGTCTTTATCCATTTTTTTTTGCAGCAGCAATTCCACTTTTTGTTTGTTGGACATCGAAACATACTTTCGTTTTGTAGATCCTTTGGAAGTTCCAGCATCGGAAATTCTATTTGACATAATCGAAAGTTCAAGTTTACTTTTATAAAATTGCTCTTACAGTCTGCAAAAAATAATAAGCGGAATCCAATTCGAAGATTAAGTAACAACGCAATCATTAACATTAACTGAAATAGATAATTAGATAATTTTAGCTTACACCGTCCGTTATACATTAAACACACAGGCGAAAATGTATTCTGCACTTGCGCACACGCATATGTGCAGTAGTCAAGGTTTTACGTGCACGTGTAAAACGCCCGTGCACATGTGCCAACGCGGCGCATGCGCAGAAAGTTTTTAGCTTTGAGGTCCGGATTATAGATCATTCCGGATTATGGGTGTCCAAATTAACGACTTTTGACTGTAATTCGTTTTAATATGTATAAATTGAATCTAATGTTTTAAACATTATTTATGGCTCTTAAATATTAAAATACAATTTAATTTTGCATTTTATTTAAATGATTTTATTATGTATGAATTTTTAAATAATTTTAATTCTAGCCGTGATGTAATAAGCTCTCTGATTGGTTATAGAATATTTGTGCATTAACGAGCTGTAATCAGCTCCCTGATTGATTACTGACAATTTGTGTGCATTTCCGCGCCGTTTTAAAATTTAATTTATATCTTCGAATTCCTTCAAAAGATGTTATCTAAATTATGATTCTGATTTTTATTGTGGTACTTATCAATAAACAACAGGTTAAACACTCAAAAAAATGTAAGTACATATTTTTTCTTTTATTTTATAATTGTATACTTCAATTTTTTGTTAAAAAAAATTAATACACTATTTTCAGAAATTGCTGAGATAATTATTGTCCATATGTTTTAATGTTAATTATATTCTATATAACGTATTTTAAAGTATTTGAATTTAATAATATTCTAATTCTTTTAAATGTTGGTATGATGGTTTTTAATTCGATATTCAATTTCAGTAATAGTTTAATCTAATTAAACGTTGGCCCCAATGTTTTTATAGCAGTTTGTTTTTATTCTCTTCTTTGCTATATGAAAGTAATAATAACCTTACTTTAGTATTTTTTACTCATACTAAATGTATTTATTTACACTTGCCTGCCATCTTAAAAAATGACATTTTCAACAAAAAATTAATCCATTACTTTTAACGATATTTATTTATTTATTTTTTAAGTTTCGAATACTTTACTATGCAAAAAAACAGCGTTTTTCAAGATGGCTGACGTTTGTAAAAATCGCACCAACAATTCGGCCAACGTAAATCGCCAAAAATCCGTGCAACCATCTAACAAAGTAGCACCCAAAATACATGCAATTTTATGACACTGATCCTTAAATGATATTAGGATTAGGACACATTAAAAGCTACAAAACATTTATGTTTTGTAACAAAATATTTATGCTTCATTTTAATTTGAAGCCTTCCCAAACATTTTGGCTAGTTTATATTGATTTCCTTCTCTTTAAGCATCTTTTCTAACAATTAGAGATTTGTCTCAATATGCAAACCAATGCTCTTGCTAGTTTCTGCGTGCTTTTCTTCTAACTTGTCAACCTCTCCACAAGGTACCTACGAGGGTTTACTTGATCTGGTAATAGTCCCAAACATAAACTGAAAGGCTGAAATCATAAACAACAGGTATGTTACATAATAACAACTGCACATATCTTTGAAGAGTAATTTTCTTTATCAATTTCTTTCTTCAAGAAAAAGAAGAAAGAAACTACTCAGTTTCTTTCTTCAACGTGTTTCCTTTTCATTTTAGAATTTTTGAATCTAACTAAGGATTTCTGTTATTCTAAAAAATACTAAATGCATTTAGAATGTATAGAAGTAGCTAATTTTATTCCTTTAGTAATATGAACATTCAGAAGAAATATGAAGTATATATGGTAAGGCCCAGTTACAAAGCTGATGTGGCAGAATTTTTAGAACTTAGTGACACACCGAACAACAAAATCTAGAAATAGCAAAATTTTTAGAATTTAGAGCAGGCATTGGAAACAGAATTTAGAAAGGCACTAGGCAACAGAATTTAAGATCCACAGAGATTGCCTAGTTAAATGTGTTGATGCATTAAGACATATTAGATGAATCTTTCAAATTGTAAATTTTCAATTTCTTTATTAATAAAAAAATCCCTTTCTATAATGTCTGACCATGTGATAAGATTAGAAGCAGTTTTGATATTTTCCATACTTGTGTCTAGTGAGAATTAGAGAAAATAAAAGGAAGATAAACATGTTAGGAAAAAGATTCTAGTATCAGAAGTAAAACATTCAAATATTATGTTTTCATTGTTCTTCCAGATGTTCTCCAAAAGGTAAGAAATTTATCGCACACTTTCTGTAAAATACATCCATTACATGTTGATACCATGGAGACATTTTTCATATTGTCACATAATTCTCGAATCTTCTAGAATCACGGGTCTATAAATCTTCACTTCAAATCCTTCTAAACTTTCCAAGCTGCAATGTCTAAAACACTAGAGAAAAATTATCCCTACCAATTCTGTAACAGCAAAAAAACAGAAATATTTTGGAAAAAAAAAAAGAGGGGAAAAGTGTAGAATTAATTTTATAGAAAAAATTGATGCATATTCTGAGAATTTTGAATATTCTGAAACGGAGAAAACGCTTACTATGAAAAAATTAAAAAGAAGATATTTTTAATTAATTACATAGCTAATTTTGCTCTTGTTAAGAGCTGTTTCGTAAACTACACTAAAGCATTACGCCTTATTTTTTGGATTCATAATAAAGTATAATAAGTTGCCAAAATGAAACTTTATAATATGACAGCAAAAAATAGAGATGTTTTATTTTAATGTTGTTTTTTAAACATAATTTCAATATATTACCATTATTTTAATGAAATTTATCAATGTTGTGATGTTTTAAAAAAGATCGTCGAAAAAATTCTCAGATCTCTGGAATTAAAAATTTTTATTTTTCTATAGAAACTGATCTTAAAATTGCCAAAATGTTGACAAGTCGCCAAATTTAGAACCCTTTAATAAAAGAATTCACATCCCAAAAGCGAAAAGTTTGTTTAAGATTTCTTTATTAGAAAAAATGAATTTTCAAAAGTGCTTTATGTTTCACTTCTTGCTTAGAAACTCGAGTATCCCATCATTTATATTAGAAATAGAAACAAATTACAACCCATTCAAAAGATAACCATATGTGTCAGTGAATCGCCAAAAATATTCCTCGAAAATGCCAATTCACACTCAAAATGGAAGTCATAAAAACAGACAGAAATTTCAGATGATTAAAATTAAGGACCTTCTGCTGATTCTGGCCAAAATTAAGGACTTTTAAGGACCAAAAATCGATGAATTTTAAGGACTCTTAAGGACCGTACGAACCCTGTAATACCCAAGCTTCCCTAAACTAATTCAGATAATTTTAAGAAGATTCTGGATGCTGTTAAGGAATTTTGTTTCACTGAAGGCACGTTAATTCGTAAATAAGATAAGTGGATATTACCTTTGTCTAGTGCAAGGATGAATTTCCTTTACGTTATTTCATTATTTGATTTAAAATGTAGTTTATTGAGATTATATGTTATTTGCTGGCTGCTTTGACTTTTGAAGTGAATATAGTTCGATACGTATATGGACAAACTCAAGAGAGTGTGCAAAGCCTAGTTTGTGCAATTCTCTGATTTTTTCTAAGAGAAAATAGTTCGATGTGTACATGGATAAAGTCAAGGGAGTGTGCGCAGTGCCATTTTTGTGCAAATCTGAGATGATTTTTTTTAAGTGAAAATAGGTCGATGTGTACATGGATATCGAGTTTGTGCAATTCTTTGTCTTGTTATTTTGGCTTTGTGTATCGGTGATTTTTCGTGCAAAAATCGGCACTACGCAAGCCAAAATAACAAGTCGAAGAATTGCATAAACTCGGTATCCATGTACTACTAAAAATCGCCAAGGGGTACCCATAAATATACTTTAACCATGTAAAGTTATTATTAAACGGAGAAAAATAATGTTTATGATGTAGCAATCGCTACATGACAATACTTAACTTCCTGTAAGACTTCATCTCTCTCAAAAATTTACAGTAAAATGCAGTAATAAAATATTATATTTTTAAAAGATTACATACTTTTTCTTTTGCCATTTCAAAGTCAGCAAGTTTTTTTGGCCTCTGTATTGATAAAGGATGCATCCTTAACTGCAACAGGTAATCTCTTCCATATTGCAGATGAGGCTTAGCTTCAGCAGTACTCATTATAACTGCAAGACTACATAAATAAGTAATTATTCATATCCATGTAAATGAATAAATTATATAGTAATATTTTTCATCATCTCATCTTTCATTAAAATTCTCATTAGTAAGAATAATAATTCAAAACATAATTTTCATACATAAAGTGAACATGAAATGATACTATGATAATCAACTTGAATACTGAACTGCTCATACTCTACCCAAGAGATATACATACCTCATTTACGTTTACATTTTTAAAATTACAACCTATTTTGTTTAAAAAAGTTTTGAAATAATCTGTCATTAAAAATGCACACAGTGTAATTTATTTCCATTTCCATATTATAATTAGTGCCTTATCTGAGAATATTTACAAGACAGGGCTAACGAGTTTCTTTCAAAATGGCAAGACATATATAATGCCCACTGATGTAAATGAAAACTGGATTGATGCTACTTTGATAGATGGTTGCACGGATTTTTGGCGATTTACGTTTGCGTGGTTTTTACATTCGTCAGCCATCTTGAGAAACGCTGTTTTGATGTATTTTACACACAATACAGTATTCGAAACTTACACACAATACAGTATCGTTCAAATTAATGGATTCATTTTTTGTTGAAAATGTCGTTTTTTTAAGATGGCAGGCAAATGTAAATAAATATATTTACTCTGAGTATAAAATACTAAAGTAAAGTTAAATTATTACTTTCATATAGCAAAGAAATAGAATAAAAACACTGCTATAAAAGCATTGCGCCAATGTTTAATTAGATTAAAATATTACTTATTGAATATTGAATTAAAAACATCATACCAACATTTAAAAGAATTAAAATATTAATTAAATTCAAATCCTTTAAAATAAGTTTTAGAAGATATAATTATTTAACGTTAAAACATGTGGCAATAAATATCTCAGTAATTTTTGACAACAGTGTATTAAGTTTTTTAATAAAATATGAAGTATACAGTTATAAAGTAAAAGAAAAATTATGTACTATTATTTTTTTGAGTATTTAACCTGTTCCATATATTGATAAGTACTACAAAAAAAATGGAATCATAATTTAGATATCGATGAAAAAAATTTTAAAAATATAATACAATTTTAAAAATGTAATCTAAGGAAAAAAATTTGAAAAATGTAATCTAAGGAATTCTAAGAGATGAATAATAAAATTTTAAAATCGTGCGGCAAAGCACAAATATTCAGTAACCAATCAGGGAGCTGATTACAGCTTGTTGATGCAGAACTAATTACTTTTAAAGTAATGTGACATCATTCATTACATCGTACACAACATAAAATTCCATAAAAATCATAAACAATAAAATTTTATTTCAAATAAAAATGAAACATTAAATCGATTTTTAATATTTAGAAGCCATAAATAATATTTAAAGCACAGAATTTATGCATAATAAAATGCATTATTTTTTAAATAATATGACAACAAAGTTATCGGTTACCATAAATAACTTGTCTAGTAATTGCTCGCCAAAATCCGTGCAACCATCTAACAAAGTAGCACCACTGGATTTTTAAAACTCATTTAAAAAAGTATATATTTTTATCATAATAGATTTTGATCTAATTACAACATTAACAGCACATAATCATTAAGTATGGTATTAATCAAAATCGGAACATGACTTTTCCTGAACTATAAATACTGCATCAATAAATATGAAAAACTACACATTCAAAATCTGATTTTTCTGAGCATTTTTAATTTCATTATTCAATAAAATATCATCTACTGAATAATTAACAACGAAGATAATATAGTATTTGGGAAAGTGCAGAATCGCCCACTTATTTTTTTGGCACTTTTTACAAGAGTAAGAAGAATTGGATTTTGTCAATTTGCTTTGACTTTTTAAGTGAAAATAGGTTGATGTATAGATGGATAAAGTCAAGGGAGTGCACAATGCCATTTTTGTGCAATTCTAGGATGCTTTTTTTAATACATTACCGACCGGTAGCCTATTAATCGGCTTTTTATCACCAACGCCTACTGACCGATAGCCTATTAATCGGCTTTTTTTAGACAACGCCTGCCGACTGATAGCCTATTAATCGGCTTTTTTTCACCAACGCCTATCGACCGATAACATATTAATCACTTTTTTTCTCGGCGCTACCTAAAAATAGCCTATCAATCAGTAGCCATGGCGATAAACAATTGCCATTTGCTATATCATTTGCATTTTATTATTAGTATTGACGTACACTGCTCACTCGCGATAAGTGCGTTGCTTCGTAAACTCCCGCGTTTTCACACCATTTTTTTTTTAAATTACCGTTCATGATGAGCGAAAAAAGTGGTACTGGAAAGTTTATTTAGACGATTTATCAGACTGTCCTGACAGTTATTTAAAACATGAAGAATCTGCAGCTGAGCGGCCAGTCAGACGTGCGTATGCTGTTGAACCGCTAGCGGTCGATAAAGTGTTAAGTGAAAATAGGTCGATGTGTACATGGATACCGAGTATGTGCAATTCTCTTAAAAATGCACCAAGCAGTGGGTGATTTTGCACTTTTCCCTAGTATTCTTTGAGAGCAAAACCTGCAAAAATAAATCCTTATCTGCTGATTTCCAGAGACTGCAAAATTTGGTGGAAGGGGAAGAATGGAACTGCAAGATGCTCCTGGTTTTAGAAATAGAGGAAAAAATGTATGCCTCAAAATTGAAGAGCATTTAATTGTCTCATATTTCCAAAACATTTAATTGTCCTTGATAATCCCACAAAATAAGAGGCAAATTATAATAAAATAAAATAAAACAGAATTACATACATGCTAAAAATAAAATACTTTTAAATAAATCTTATAGGCAATTTTGTGATTCTCTTTTCTTAAAAACAGTGTTTGAAGGAAATATTTAGAGCAATAAAGAAAAAATTAAAAAATATATATTATAACAACACACACCGAACAGAAATAAACAACAAGAAATAATATATTTTGAAATTTTGATACCCTAATGCTATTATAAATACAAACTATTTATATAGATAGTTTTTAGGTGCATTTTTCTTTGGTAATATAGCATTTGATATCTTTACTGAATGATGACATTATAATTTTATAAAAAGAAAGGCTGCTTTCAAATTGTTCAATTTGAGTGCAAATAAGGAATACGATTTTATTTATTTATTTCCACTACATTTTAAATGGTGAATGCCTTTCTTATATGTTAACAAAGATGAAACTATGAAAAGATACGGAAAGAGAACAAAACCAAATACTATTATTGTCCACAAAATATTTTCTATATCATAGAAAATACCTTTTTAAATGCTCATGTATTAGAGAGCATAATGACTAATGATTAATTTTACATGCTTTATATGCATTTCAGATAACAAAATAGAAAAATGCTAATGTCAAACAAGTTTTTGAAAATGTTTCGTTTGTTGAATATTTGATGTTAGGACAAAATATATATCTCACAAATATGAAATCATTAATGTGAAATACAGATTACCACAGCACCATTATTAGAAGCATTATACAAGGCAATTCATTTTGTTATAATCTACACCCTTCTTCAAATACAAATACATTAGAACGTAATAAAATGCAGGCAATTTCAGAAAAAAGATTTTACTGTTAATTTTTTAAGATTATTATCAATATGTTGTCATGAATTGCATTAATTTTCATATCTGAGTTTTTTTTTTTTTTTAATATAACGACAAGCATGTCAACAAAAATCAATGATTCTAAATTTTTTTTAAACTAGTTAAATCAATAAATGACAGAGATTCTATCTTGATATTTCAATCTGTTTTATGCAAAGTTTTATGATTTACGTTAAGCCACTTTTCATTTTTTAACAGCTTAGGATTATTAACATTTTACATATTTTCATTTGTTAACTATACAATCCTAGTAAATTACTGACTACAATTTATTACACAGTTTTTCAAATATAATGTTACATATTATTATGAACTTTACACTGATATTGCTACTATTTCAAAAAACTAATATAACGCACTTTATAAAATAAATTTAATGAACTCACTTTCGTTGGATTTAATTACTACAAGATTCGTTGCTTCGAGAATTCTGAACTGTACAACTACGAATGACAACACTTCTCGAAACTGAATTCGCTACGCACTAAAATTAAGCACATATAAAATTCAAATTCAAGAAAACTACGATCGAACATTAAATTATGAAACTAAAATGTTGCGGTTTTGATTGTAAATAGCTCGGATTGGATAATAACCAATATCCAAAGTGTGGCCAAGCAATGTAAATAAATGTAAACTAATGCAGTTTCTACAGATGGTGGCCTTAGCTTAATACTTATACTCAAATTCAATATAATAAAATTCAGAGAATATTTATTCCTCTTACTTCAAATAATTAAGATGGAAAAATCAAAATTTCGGGGTAAAGATTACACTAGATCAGAAGCATCACAAGTTGGAAATTTATAAAACCGCACAGCAGTTTTAAAAATTAAGTAAGGCAGTGTCCACAAAATCTTTAAAAACTCTACAGAAATGTATAAAAATTTGGTTTAGAGCTGTTTAGGTAGAGGGACTTTGAAAAAGGCTAGAAATGGAGTGGATTTAGAAAAACTATGATAAAAGACGCTAGAAATATCCCAAAGGGAAAATAAACAAATAAATACACGGCGATAAATTTATATATTAAAACAGCAAGAATTTGACGTGATCTCCCACACTGCTTGAATAATTTAGATGAATGAAAGCTCCCCTTACATAGAAGTTAGATGGATGGAGTAAAGTGACATCATAAAATTGGCCAAGAAACTGTTAAAAATGTGACATCAAGACCTGTCATAGCCGCCATACAGGGCCGATGCTATTCGCACCAAGGAGGGTTAGAATAGATGAGTAAAACCTCCCGTATGTTCCCATGCAATGAAAATGAAGCCATGATACGTCACGATGCGTGACGTCACGACTGATATGGGAGAGCAAGGAGGTTAGAATAGATGGAGTAAGCATGACGTCACAAAATTGATGCCGAGGAAGGATCGACAGCGTGACATCACGACTGATGAGCATGGCTGCCGTGTGGCGTACGGATAAGACGAAAGGTTTGTTTATAATTATATTGAAACTGCGCAGCCAGAAAAAAATGGGTGAATGTAGTGAAGGATGTAACAATCATTCCCGCTGCTACGCAGCTAATTTCATAAGTAAATGCCATAAACAGGTATTTTAGTATTTCTATTATTCTGACTTTATTGCTACTCGCTATTAGTTCAGCATTGTTTTGTTGACATATTTGTTGATAGTTTTGACCTGATTTTGAGAAATATGGATAGATGTGCTGCACCAAATTGTTCAAATCATTCTAGAAATAACTTTAGGATGTTTTGTTTTACAAAAAATGAAATTGCAACCCTAAAGCGTCGCAACAACATGGCTGATGACTCTCCCATATCAGTCGTGACGTCACGCATCGTGACGCATCTTACCGTCACCATCGAGATAGATCTGGATGGTGACGATCTTACTCCATCTATTTAACCTCTTGTGGGAGAGTCGTCAGCCAGTTTGTTGCGACGCTTTAGGGTTG